AAGAAGGCATTTGTTCTAAGAGAGGGCGTTCGAGAGAAGGAAAGAAGGAAACAAGAAGAGATGCATAGTGGGCAGCCTGCCAGTACAGGCTTCAATATTAACATTCACTGTCAGTTGGACTCGGAATTCACAGCGTAGAAGGGTTGACAGTGCACAGGCTCAGGCGAAATGTGCCTATTTCTCGTTAAATGTATCAGGTAATGGTCAAGAGCACCTCAACTGGAAGATTCGAAGACTACGGTTGAGATCAGGGCTTGAGCCTGTATTGTCTATAAATAGAGATTAAGAGTACAGCGTGTCGTTCCATGGTAGACAAGATCACACGCCTAAGATGAAAGCTTCAAGGACGTTGCTGATGCGATTTCGATGTCATTCCCTATAGTTAATGAGTGAGTCATCCAAAGCACTATAAATCATCAATCAACATCGCCCATTTTCATCCATCATTCCATTCTACCACACATTATGTCGTCCCAACGCACTGAACTCGGGGTTTTTGCAAAGCTGCCGCCTGAGCTTCGGCTCTGTATATGGGACTGGCTACTCCCTTATGCAGACACCAAACGTTTTCCTGAAAGAGAACGGCCGTGTCCGAGACCAAATACTTCGCTTACTATTCTTCGCACCAGCAAGAGGCTACACGACGAGATATCGCATCATCTGTATTCCAACCTTACTGTCTCATTCACCATTGATCCGCTCGAATCATCATGGACTTACTGTAGACTCTCAAAATTCAGGCTGAGATTCATCCTTGGCTGTATGGGCCGCGCATTCTATCTCGGCTTGAACAATTTCCCTTTCCATAGGGTACATGTGCGCGTCGACATCCTGCCACCGAAACCCTCGAGCCCTGGCCAACTGATACTACTGTTCGAAAGGCTCCAGGTGCTAGTGGACTTCCTCAGTATGGCAAAGTCGATACGAACCATGGATATCCACCTTGTCCATGCCGCAGATAACAGAAGAAGATGGCATAAGCATGGGAAACCACTGAGGAGTCTGACATATGCGCCGTGGTTCGAGTACGAATTCATGGATCACCAGATCGTCTCCCTACCCTTCTGTCGATTACAGAATGTCTCATCCAAGAAACTGCGTCACTCGAAAAAATGTGGCAGGGTCCGAGATTGGACGATCCCCTCAGACGCAGGGGCATATTTCAGAGACGATGGCGACCGAACCACCTATGAATTTGACGATATCGACATCTTCTTTTCGAAACTCAACAAGTGCTTCGTTGATCGAGTTGAGAAGAGATTGCCGGGGGGAACCGCCCATGAACTGCGGCATCAACTGGAGCGATGGGTGAAAGCAGGCATGCAGAAAGATGCTATCAAATTTGACATATTCTGCTGGCATGGACGGCATAGAAACCAGCACAGTGTATGCTCAGAAGTCTTCAAAAGACCTCATATATAGGTAGTTAGTTAATATGCTGCCAGTACTCAGTCATTCTTTCCCACTTGAGATATTGCTTACAAGACAAGCGGCACCTCCACGACAGTTCCTTCCCGCCACGTAGAGCAAGCAAAGTGAGATGTTTATATGATTGAGTCCCTGCTCTCGATTCTCTATTTCTTCACAATTCGTGCACTTTTGTTGATCAAGCCTGTTGCCTTGAAGTACGACTTTTATTCTCAGTGTTTTACAGACCTGCCTGCGATCCAAAATGGGCTATTTTAATAGCTCCGATGAGTATGTATATCAGAGTTATTCATTCTTCGCAATGCCTGACTGTCCTTCCACAGTTCCTCCTCTTCCTCTCCCTTTGTACCCTCCGCTGTCGAAGATTATGAGTCAAGTGCAGACTGCCGAGCGATCCTATGACTCTTACGCAAACGCGTGCAGCTCTAACCTGCCGCCGAGAGTCACTTTGAGGATTATGCGGGCCGGCTGTGGAAGCGCCTTCGGAAAGCATCAGTCGAAGACAGTACAGGCAGGCGAGGCGATTATGGCGATACCCTACTTGCCTGTGTCAATTACCTACGACAGCATGGAACGGATGTGGACGACAGAAATGGCACGGCTGGCAATACAGATCTACACGGAACGAAACGAGTCGAGATCCAAGGTGGCAACAAGGAAATAGAGGCTGCCAGGAAGATTCTTCAGGCAGTCATGGAGCTATCTGCTGAAAGGCATGTGTTGGTCAGGGGCGCATTGATTTTCACATAATCCCCCTGGCTGGGAATTCGAACTTCTACGTGGTGGCGACCGGCTGGCGACCGGCTTTGTTGCGAAGGATTCAAACCACATAGAACATACCACCAGTCACAGCAGAAGAAGGAGGCGGTATTAAACCGCCTCTGTGTGCCAACCCTCCACGATTCCAATCCGAATAGACTTCTGCCAGAATATGATACCGCTACGATTATGGATATGAAACCCTAGACTGACGAGTACTCGTCCGGACTGGTATTGTATTTTATTTCAATATCTCCCGTAAGCGCGTCGGGAAAGGAACTATGCAGAATATAACTCCGATCGACTACGGAATCGTTTCCGTTGGTCTATTGCTATGCTTGAGTATTACTATTCTGTGCTCTTCACGATGTTGTCTTTATACCTACAGATAAAGACAGAATACAGATACTTGGGGGGACAATGCTGTTAAATGACTTCTGTTTCGTATCTTAATCATTAGAGATGATAGACAAGTGCATTAGGAAGTGACAAGAAAGAGAAAACAGAAAAAGGAAACCAAGCCAAGCCAAGCCATGAGATTATGCCTTCATCTCCTCCGCAATCTGTTTAATCAATTGCTTGACCTCCTCATCCGTCATAGTCGGAACCCCCAGCAACTCATTATCATTCTTGGCCCAGCCAGCCGCGCTCTCCGGCTGCGTAAGCGTCCACCGAATCATAGCCCCGATAACCTCAACCGTGACATTCCCGACCTTGAACTGCGCCATCGCATCCTCCAGCGCCTTTGCGGGATTCTGGCTCTGCACGCTCCAGCCCTCCTTGCCCAGAGCGTCCTGTGCCAGCTCGCCCACCTCCCTCTGGCTCTTCATGATACTGCACACATAGCACGTCCTGTTCTTGGTTTCCTCCGCGCGCAGCAGAGCGTTCGCCACGGCTTTGCCTACCGAGGACAAAAGCGTCCAGGGGACGACACGCGACCCGTCATTCAGCAGATCGATGCGCTTCTTGCCGATGTCGATGTTCAAGAACCCCGTCCGCAGAGTCCAGTCTAGGAAGGCCCCGGTGGAAATACTGGTGTAGGTTATCCGGCCGTCGGCGGCGACCTGGCGGAGATATTCATAAACTCTGGCCTTGCCGGCGAAGACGGGCAGGGCGCGGCAGGTGGTGGCGGTGGGGTCGATGCTGAACTCGGCGGGGATGAAGCGGTGAACGCCTGCTGCGACGGCCGCGTCGATGAGGCGGATGGCGACGCTGGGGTCCGGGACGGAGGTGGCGTCGATGAAGGCATCTTGGCCTTTTAGGGCGGCGGTGATGGAGTCGAAAGAGTCGAAGTCGACGACTTGGGTGGTTACGCTGGCGGGGAGGTTGGGGTTTGGGTTGAGGGTTAGGACGGTGATGGTGAATTTACCGGTGTCGAGGAGGTCGGTTAGGATGTTGGAGCCGGCGTTGCCGGTTGCCTATGCCTGTCAGTAGGAACATTACCGAGATGAGAATGAATGACGAACCCCTGCGAGAGCGACGTTCTTGATTGTCGGTGCCATTGTGTTTGTGTTGTGATTGGAAATGGTATCTTAGAAGTATAGTGTATACACTGAGGTGAATCGGATTCTGGTGGGTTGTACGTTGTAGTTTGTACTGCAGTTGCTTGATTGCTATGTCTTGACCAACTTGACAACTGCGGGGAGGGGCTATATATATTGCACATCTGGCTCCCACCCCGGTATACAATTCAGATCATTTCTAATAATTAGAAATGCAAGACCGTTGCTGAAGAAAGTTTGGTAATAGCAATAAGGTTATCCTAGTGCCTTCTGCGCCTCTCTGTCTATGACGCTTACGAATGCTGACTATATGTCTGCCATAGCCTCATCGCCAAGGGGACCTGATCTCTCAAACTGAGACACTTAAACTGTAGAACAATATGTCCATAGACTCGTGTATTGGAACGGTTTATTGATACTTGGCGAAATATGCCGCCGTTTGCGGTTAGCTACCCCTTATTGATAAGCGCGGGGGATGCACTTGATTGGCTTCTCCGCCTGGGGTAAGGTTCGGTACAATAGGCTAATAGCTGGAGGTATTATTCTACCATTGTCCATCAAGGTACATAGTCTGGTCTGGACCTTTGAGCTTATCATGTCAGCACCACATGGTCTAATGATTGATCGAGCTGGTTCCACTAGCCTACAGTTATCGTGGACCCTTTACTACCAGTCTGCCAGTACCTGCAATTAGGCTAAATACCGACCCAGGACTGGAGGAACTGGTGGAGGCTGTGTCTTGGAACAATTCTCCGAAGTGAGGTAGGTCCACAGGCACTTGTACCGCCAGAAGTCCAGAACCTACCAGGCTGGCCACAGGATGCACAGCCCAAGCTTTGATCTAGGGGGCTAGCCGTTTCAAAAGTGGCAAGGAAATTCGGATGGTTCCTGGACTCCCTAAGTACATTGGTCGTCGTTATCTCAGGGATGAATCCTGGCGACGCGCATCTAAGCCGGGAGTCAGGATCTCCTGTCAGCCATTTCTATCATAATCTGCGCAGGGCCGAGGGGACAACAGTCTCGCATGGTCAGGAATGTGCCTTGACTTGGTTAAGATAGAGCTAACTTCAAGTTAAGATTAGAATATATTCCAAGAATACAGGTATGCAGCCGCAAGATAAGAGATCGAGAATGGCACTGCATGGCGCAACTCATTTAGAAAATATGCTAATGCTAAAGTTAATGCCAGAGGATCCCCAGTAATTATGCTGCAAAATATGATGCGCGGTGATAAGAATAAGGTTATACGCTACTCCATAGACCGGGCTCCTCAGGTTACTTCTTCTATTTCCTTAGTTCACGTCCAACTATTTAGGCAATTTCAAACTCAATAGGAGCATATCCATAGATCGTCCGCCAGGTGTTATTAGACGGATCGCGCTCGTTCCATGAAAAGTGCAGAAAGGTTTGGTCACGGTTTCGGCTCAACTTGGCCATGTCCTCCTCTGTCGTTCCAGGAGGATAACCGTCTCGTGGCCGAAAGGCACCGAGGGGTCTAATGCGTGCTTCGCCAGGGACGAGCAGTGCTGGTGTCCTGGTTTTCTCCTCGGTAAGTGTAGGGTATGGGCTTGCGCCAGGTTTGAAGTCCAAGCTGAAGGGGCTTTGACCTGCGCTTATTGCCGTCCCATGCATTTCTTCTAACGTCATGATTCGTTCGCCCATCGTGGCACCAATGTCGCGCTTGTAGAGCCCCTCCACCTGATGTGCTTGACGAAGAAGGGCGAGTGCTGTCCGTCGAATTGTAGGTTCGCGGCACCTAACACATGTGAACCAAAGCGGAAGACCAACGCTGAGTTCAAAGGTAAATGGCGATTGGGTGCCATCATGCCGCGCTGAACCACTTAATGCGATGCTAGATTGTTCGATTATAGTTTGGAAATTTGGCAGATAATCATCAGTTGTGATCCGTGATGGCGATATGCAGACCCCGAGCATGACGAATAACATCTCATGGTAAGAGAGGAGAAGAGCGCCGGTACTGACTTGCGATGAGTCTTTTGTGCAACGAGCCATCAAGGTAGCAAATGCTGTGCGCCAGCTCCGTAGCCTAGCCGACAGGGTTCTTCGCTGATCCATCATTTCTTGGGATATACAGCAGGCGTGCGACTTTATCAGATACTCTTCGCAAGCTAATTCAAACAGGGGGATCTCTATAGCGAGGATAACGATGGCCTCCCGAGCAGACTTGAGGGAGACAAAATCGGGTCTGGATGTAAGTTCAGTCACTCGTAACAGATTGCTCACTAGAACGCCAGCGCTGGAAGTGACTGCTCCTAATCGGACGAAAATCGGGATAATTGTATCCTTTAGTATGGAGGTTTTGGTTGCTGTCATGGCCCTGCAAGCGAGAATAAGCTGCACACCTTGACCATAGAGACGTAGAGCCTCCTCCATACCTCCTAACATGGCCTCAATGCAGATAAATAAGACGCATGTAATGAGTCCGACAAAGGTGTCTACAGTCCCACGTTCAATTCCCCGGCGGACGGCAGATACTGAGCGCGAATACCACTCCAACGCGTCTCGTTGGTTTTGATTGAGATAGCAACAATGATTTCGACGTAGAGAGACAAGGTCCTGGCCGGGATCAGGATTCTCAAACAGTGAGCTGATAGCAATCATGGCATCCCACACAGCAGGTTCACTCCGGCAAACCTGCGGGACAATCGTGCGCCAGAAATCAACATCCAGTTCACCGCCAATGGACGCTGCGGCGTACTGGAAATAGTAGGCGAAAGCGCGACGCTCTCGCCATACTGTGTTTGAGGATAATGAAAAAGAGTTGTCAAGGATGGATATTGCAGAAGCTGAGGAGAAGAATGTGGAGGATATTGTATTTTCATACTCGCATTTGCGACCAGTGCTCGTGCATCGGAGACAATGAGGCTTTTCTTCTCCACACTTGACTCTTCGAACTCTGGAATGCGGTTTAATATTTACACTTTCTGTGAAAAGAAAGGAGGCACCAACTTGCAGGTTTTGCAACCCCGTTTTGATCTCAGGGGTCTGATTGAGTTATCTCGGAGTCGCAAATGGGCTGACGGGCTAACGGACATAACGATAACGCTCCCGAGAAGTGGCTCCCATGCTAGCCAAGAACATGCAGAATTTTGTGAGGAGGTTAATCGCGCACCATACAGGTGATCATTGCATGTAAGCAAAGAAGCAATGCTCGCGAGATTAGGAAATCTGCTGGAGGATAAACATGAAAGTTGATTGGCCAGAAAGCGGGAAGCCTGATTTGCCGGAAAATCCATCCAGCCGAAGTCATTACAAAGCATTAGATAACCCGTTTCTCATCACTGAACCTTAGTAATTCTGAGCGGAATTAAGCCCGTTAACATAACTGTACTGATGTCTGATGATATGGGCTGCTCATGTCATCAAGGTGTTTAATTAGCAATCAGAGTCTGTCAACATCCCTTATGGAGACGTTGGGATCCGATGTCTCAATCGGGATCCGAGGTATCCTGCGGTTTCACTATGCGGAAGATGACAATAACGGCCATGGGTTGACAAATCCAGGGATGTAGGAATAGTGATATTGAATGGCATCATTCACGAGAACGATGAGACGACATGGTGCTACACATGAAAAATTATAAAGCTATCTCGCTGTCCATACGGAGGAACAGCCTTGTCCAACAGATCGTCCAACAGATCCTCGACTCATCTATCTTTTACTCTTCACCAATTGACAAATATATTTGCCAATGTCACCGAAAGTAGCCATTGCAGGAGTAAGCACATCAGCCAACAGATTTTGTTATCAAGCGTTGCTAATATACCCTTGCAGGCCACTGGCAATCTTGGCCCGGCTGTACTCAACGCCCTGCTCAGCGCCGGCTTCGAGGTGACCGTCTTGACCAGAGCTGAAAATGATAGAAGCAACAACAACTTCGGCCAAGCTCGCGTGGTACCAGTCGACTATACCTCCTTGGACTCCTTGACAGCAGCCCTGAAAGGACAAGATGTAGTGGTCAACACCCTCGGAGCTATCCCCCGAGATATCCATCTCAGATTGATAGACGCAGCCATCACTGCTCAGGTCCAGCGCTTTATCCCCTCAGAGTTTGGCTCCGACACAACCAACCCCACGGCAGCCAAGCTCCCAGTCTACCAGGACAAGGTCGCCATTCAGAAATATCTTCGGGAAAGAGCAGCCGAGTCCGGGGGCACGTTCTCCTACACCCTCCTAATCAATGGCCCCTTCCTCGACTGGGGTCTGACGGTCGAGTTTCTGCTCAACTGGCGGGGTCCAGTAGTAGAACTATACGATGGGGGAGAACGAAAGTTCAGCGTGACCACGCTCGCGGGAATAGCCAACGGTGTTGTTGGCATAATCAATAACCTCGAGGCCACAAGGAATCGCACAGTGTACATCCGTGAAATTGATGTCTCTCAGAGCGAGTTGCTGAAGCTCTCGGGGAAGCAACTGCCCACGAAGTCCATCAGCACGGCAGAGCTGGAGAAAGAGGGTTATGCCGAGCTCGCCAAACCGAACCCTAACCCCGGGGTATTTGTGTACAATTTCCTCAGGTGGGCTATTTTCGGGGAAGGGTGCGGCAGTCTTTTCCCTGCTGAGAGTCTCAGTAATGGTCTGCTGGGAGTGAAAACGCTTAGCAAGGAGGAGCTGCAGGAGATTGTGTCCAGGTCCACTAAGTAGTTGTATGTAGACAATTACTATCCTCGCAGATTGGCAGCATGTCATTATACTAGAAGATAGCTCTTCGATGATTTTACATTCTCTTATCCGATTATTACATCTCAACTATAACCTCATCCAAACAAAGACGCAGGGAAACTAAAAATTAGGTTCAAACGGCCCCTTCAACAACCTCAACATCTCCCTCGGATCATCCTCATCCACAATGAAGCCACGGGCATACTTAGACACCGAAGTCGCAATCACAAGAGCGATATAAGCAACCTCGCTTCGAATTAGTCGTACATCGTCTCTCATCCACAGATACATCCGCAACGCATGATCATATTCAACTCTGTTCTTTTCATCCAGATCCGAATACCGCAGAGCGCCTATCTGATAGTCTCCGTAAGCTGGAAGGGCGGGTTCATCCGGCACAGCTGGGGGGTCTTTAGTGTCAGGGTCGACGTATGGCCAGATATTCTTGCACATGGACGCCAGCCGGATTTCCTTGTACCAAGCTGGCCAGTCGGTGCGTTCTGTCAGGATGATTGGCTTGGATGGAGCCGTGAGCAGCTGGCTTATGTTTTCATTCATCATGTGTACGGCCAGATGAAGTGGAGGTTCACAGATCTATTGAGAACACCTCCGAGTGTCATGAGTGTATCTAGCAAACAATGACGTGATTGCCAGTTGCCACCAGTAATAAAGCCTGAGGCATGGAAGCTAAACTTTGCAGGAAACTTAGATCAGCTGATCTACAGAGCCCTAAAAAGCAGCCGGCATACAAACAAACAGATGATGATTTGTACTTGTGACACTGTTGAACATCAGTAGAATTTTCTGTACCCTTAAGCTCCTATTATGCGATTACGTTGCCTAAGCAAGATAATACTACAAGGGTTGCCTACGTATCCATATCTCAATTTCCAGACTCGGTGATCGGCATTGTTAGATCCACCTCTGCCGAGCGAACCAAAGATGTGGGAGGCTTCTTTTCCAGGGGTAGATTCTGATTGATGGATAGATCAATCCCCACGTTTCCCCAGGTTTCTCCGCAAATTAATCGGATTCTTCAGGAGATTTTACAATTGATGGAATTTCTTAGCTGCGGGCTATAGCCTGGTATTGCGTATGCGTACGCGTATACATCTACATCAAGCTTGATCTTTCGGTGAGTGTATGGCATCTCCTGAGACAAATTCCTCAATGTTCTCATTTTACAGCTGACCGCTACGTATAAGAGGCTGAAGATCCACCAAAGTAACCACCATTAATCCTTACAAAATGCTAGGTCTTTCTCTCGTCCTAGCTGCCTGCGTGGCAGTCACGCAGGCGTCATCTGGCTACCCCGTGGCGCGCGACACCTCGGGCACCTGTTCCGGTGTGCATGCTCGCGTGTCTCCTCCCGCTGGAGCGATTGTGGTGGACAACAGCGCGAACCCTCACCCAGGGTCTCATGCGACTGTGCAGGCCGGTGTCGACGCGCTCAACACCACAACGGCCGATCCCCAGCAGCTGTTCATCTTTCCCGGCACCTACACCGAGCAGGTCTACATCCCGCGCCTGACGTCAAACCTGACGGTGCAGGGATACACCTGCAACACCAAAAGCTACCAGCACAACAAGGTCACCATTACGTACAACCTGGCCCTGATCAACACCACCAGCGACGACCTGACCGCCACTCTGCGCCAGTGGAACCCCAACACCAAGATCTACAACCTCAACATCGTCAACTCGTTCGGCCATATCCCCCAAAACGGGCAGAACCTGGCAGTCTCTGCCGAGGCGGACGGCCAGGCATACTATGCCTGTCAGCTGATCGGATACCAGGACACACTGCTGGCCGAGACGGGCCGCCAGCTGTACGCCAAAAGCCTCATCGTTGGCGCAGTGGACTTTATCTTCGGGCAGAAGGCGCTGGCCTGGCTCGAGAGCATCGACATCCGCACTATTGCCAGTGGCAGCATCACCGCGTCCGGCCGCGACAGCGACTCCAATCCGTCCTGGTACGTAATCAGCCGGTCCAACGTCTCCGCGATCAACAACACCATTCCCGCGGGGATCAGCTACCTCGGCCGTCCGTGGCGGGACTATGCTCGGGTTGTCTTCCAGGAAACTTACCTAGGGAACAACATCGCTGCCGCTGGCTGGTCGCAGTGGTCCACGAGCACCCCGAACACGGACCATGTCACGTTTGCCGAGTATAAGAACTACGGACCGGGCTCTGTGTCGCAGGAGGGACCGCGCGCCAACTTCAGCCAGCAGTTGACTGCGCCGATCTCAATCCGGTCTATCCTGGGAGAGATGTTTCAGGATGAGTGGTGGGTTGACCCCGATTATCTGCATCCTAGCGATCTCAAGCATTAGCCTCAAGCCCGAGGCGACCTGCACCCTGCACATCCTACTCGCCAGATCTATCGGGTCTGTGGGAGGGAAGAGCAATAATAACGCGACGAACATACTGGTATGCCCCCTCCTCTCCCTCTTACGTGCATTATTCTTGAGTAAGTTTGCTAATGCAATGAATGATAGTTCTCCAACTCCGCAATCTACAACTCGCAAAACGGCTGCCGCATCAAAACCAACTACAGCATCACCGGCTACATCGCCAACATCACCTACTCGAACATCAGCGTCCAAAACACCTCGGTCTACGGCGTCGACGTCCAGCAGGATTGCCTCAATGGCGGTCCGACGGGGTGCCCGTCCAACGGTGCGCTGATTGAAAATGTGAGCTTCCGGAATGTCGTCGGCACGGCTGGCGCAAATGTTAGCGACTATTATGTTCTCTGTGGGGAGTGGTCGTGTCGGGGTTTTCCAATTTGAGAATGTGCGTATTACTGGGGGTGGCGTTAGTAGTAGCTGTAACTATCCTGTGAGTGGGTGTCCGTAGCTGTATATACTCCGTCAAGTGGATATATTCCATAGAGCGCTAGAATAGAGCGCAGTCCATTCTTCCCGTCATGCTGACATATCTCAATAAAGTAAGGCTGTACTCAAGGTCAAGGATGCTGATAGCTTACATATCTACTCAAGGCAATATTCATATGAAAGAATTCATATTCAAAACATCAGTTACATCACAAAGCAAAGACATTGACCGACTCCTTGTCCTGCACCAGCGGAACTCCAAGGCAACCCAGCATAGTGTACCATTTGTCCATATGGATACGGGTTCCCTCCAATACCTGATGGATCTTGGAGCAAGTCAACCAGGTTTCTCATTTTGCAATTTTTTTTTTCTCTTTTTTGATTTTTATTGTGAAGTCTCAGTACCAGCCAAGCCGTATAGCCAAGCTGGATAGCCAAGTTGCTATCATCTGTCGTAGTCATATCGTCATGATTCGTTACATCAATATCTTATCAGTTGCACTGAGGCATCAGAAAATATCCTCAGGCCATCGAAAGTCCTCTTCCTTAGGTTGCGTCTGGCCCGAGTCCTGCATCTGTGCGTTCTTCATCTTCCAGAGCTCTCTGGCTAGCCGTCTATCCACCTTTGCAGCGGTGGCAGCTAGGTTCTTCGGGAGTGGAGGCACAGGCGGGATACGCTCGTGCAAATAGCCGCGGCTGGGGGTGGACGTTGGAGTGGGAGCGCCGGTCATGTCGTCCAGTTCTCTCAGATCAATGATCGGATAGTCCAGGTACGGCTCCTGCTGAGGTTCGTTCTCGCCGTTCGGTTGCTTCTCGACCTCATTCAGATGATTCTCACTGGCACCGGAGCCGGCGGAACGCAGATCTGAGCGTCGTTGCTTCATTCGGAGACTGGGCATCGGTCGACTCCGCGAGGTTGATCTTCGTCCATGGGTGGAGGGCGAGCGTGTATTTGAGCGTCGCCGCGGTTGGTGTTGGTTTCTTCCTCGATATTCGTGCCCTTCTGGCTGCGATTGGTCCTGCGTCCGCTTTCGCTCGACAGATCCAGGACTGTCACTCTTTCCCATTTTGGTTGCCTTTCGGGGTGTGTTGGTTTCGTGAGAACGGGCGGGTTCTTCATACTGAGACTCCTTGTTAGGAGGATCTTTAGTCATCTGATGGACCTTGTCATGGACTGACTTTGGATCCGGCGACTTTCTCTTGAGGGATGGGCTTTCCACTGTGGCCAACTCGTTTCCCTGGCTCTCCGCCACGCGTTGGACATTCCCAGACGCCTCGGACAGAGCCGCTAGCTCTACTGCTTGTGAATCAGGCACTGTCGTGGCATCTTTCTCGTAGAATCGCTCCGAAGGTAGCGTTGGGAGGGCTCCGGGCACGAACGGTCGATGATAGGGTCTCTCCTGGCAGAGTGTCCTTACCGGCTCCTCCTCGTCCTCCTCGCCCGTCAATTCGCGCAACTCGCGCCTCGCGCGTTCAAGCTTCCCCTCGAGATCACTGACCCGCTTCAACAACTTAGTTTGCTTCTGTAGCTCCTTGCGGGATCGCGATTTGCGCACTTCGGGACGCTCCAAGTCCTCAGATCCTCGCTTGATATAAGGAATGCCTAGCGACGACTTGGCCTTGCGTAGTTCCTGCAACGAACTCCGGATGGAACTTCCAGACCCGTATCCTTCTGTGGAATCCTGCCTCGAGTGACGCCCCAAAGTCTTGCTGCCATCCCACTGCGCCTGACTTGCTCTACGAGAATGTTGATCCGCAGCAGGCGCACTCGTCTGGATGCCCTGCATATAGCTTCCCTTGACAGTCCCCTTGTAGCCTGCCTTCTTAAGCTCCGCATACGCTTTCTCCGCCTGCGCCCTGGCATCGCCTTCCAGTCTGTGCTCGGACTGCGAGCCGCGCCAGATATCAGACACATTCCCCCACACCCCAAACGGATTGAACGCTGATGCAATCGCCCTCCCAAACCGAAAGATACCAGATGATCTCTGACCAGCACCGCTGTCATTCTGCGCGGATGCGCCCGCGTCCCCGCGTATGAAGATACTAGGCGGCTTTTCGCTCACGCTGTCGTTCATGTGCGCCTCGATGAACCGAGACGGTCGGCCCCGGCTCGATTTATCCCCGCCACCTCCCTGGCGTCCATTCCGACGCGGTGAGCCGTAACTCGAGTTCTTGAACGGCCAGCGGTGATTGCCATTGTCCTTTGATAGGGATTTCTCTTCGCCGGGTTGGAGCGGCCAATCGTTTGAACGGCGCCGCTTGGATGAATGCGCGGACGGCGAGTTGGGAGGTTGCTCGTCTAGATCAGATTCCTCTGCGTCGTCGAAGCGGCCAGACTCGTCTGACGGCCAGTCCGAGTCCGCGGCTGAGCTGCGCGAATGCTTGCGAGAATGGAACGGGTAGCCGTTGGAGCGTCTGTAAGTCGAATGGACGGCTTGTTGCAACTGGCGGTCCGCTTCGTGGGGGTCGCTCTCCAGGTGCACCTGGACGTAGGACATCTATCAACGAAATCGATGAGTAAAAGTTTTTGTGATTAATGGATCGCAACGTGGGATAGTGACGCGCAAGGGCGCGGGAGACTAGCAATATGTAGCACAAAGGGAGGGTTCATAAGACAAACCTCCGCATCCATCTCCCTCGCCGTCATGCCGACTGACCGCCCTCAATACTCGTGGTCAAAGATATGTTAGAGACTGCAAACATATAGAATGATCATAATGATACACTGGAAGTAGGAGAGTATCGAAGGCAAAGACCACCGATCTCCGGGGCTAGAAGGCGGGGTGTTGTTGTTGTTATGTTGTTATTGTTGATGGTCTTGTTTACATCCGGGGTCTGATCAACTATGCGCCAAGCGCGCGCGATGGGTTTCAATTAAATAGCGTCTTCAGAGATAGATAAAGACCATCGTTATTCATGAGTACCCGGTGACTGAAATAAATGAACACAAAGATGATGACTCGAATGCCTCGCGTCCGGAGGGAATTCTCCTTAGACGAGACCGTTGGAAATGTATGTCTTGGTCTGACATGTGCCGTTGGCTGTGTCCAGTCACTCAATTATGCAGGAGAACAGGCCAATGGGTCGATAGAATTCTGTTGACATTCTTCTTTCCACAGTCAGGCAGATAGACCCAATTGAATCTCCAGTCTCTGATTGTAAATGTAAAATGGGAGTAGTGAAATGGTAGCAGGTAGGTTGGGAAGGCTCGCTCGTCATAATGAAAGATTGAAGAAGGCGACGATCAACTACATCGAGAAAGAGATTGTCTCACACGTCAAGCTTATATGTCAACTGGAACAGGAATCTCATGTCTGAGCTTACGATTGATCGTATTGACAAACATCTATGACTGTCTGAAAAGGACACGGTGCTCTGACGCGGCCTGCAGGTTTTTGAAGCAAATACAGGAAATAAAGGAATGAAGTAGCCAAAGATAACCCCCTGCCAAAATATCCCACCAGTTGCTAAGAAAGAACCAAGAAAAGAGCAGCACGAGAGCATAGCTCATGTTCGATAGAACTATCGAGCTTTGACTGTCGGCAGGTATAGAGCACGCTCAGACAAGCTGCCAAGTAAGAATGTACAAAAGAAACTCTGATGGCGGCAACCGGTATGATCGGATAAAGATCAGAGAAAGGAAAAAACCCCGGCGTCCAAGCCGAATACACAAGAGTACAATAGAGATACGTTGAATCTTCCGAAACGAACATAATCCTTCCACTGACCAACACGTTGGCTCAAAAGTCGTCACATAAACTGGAAAGGTTCCGGAACGCGTTACGGTAGCGCAGGCGAAATCTTCATGACCATTCTTCCATTCGCTCGTTTGTATGCCATCTCATCACGCGAATCGGTGTAGAAGGGGAGCCGGCCATGATCAGGCTGCTTCCGGCCCATGCTAGGGTATTGGTCCATATCAGGCCGCATGCCGTTGTGCAGAGGACGCTCATCATTGCCGAATGTTTCCTCGTGCGATCGCTTGGATAGGGAATGATTCGTTTCCCACAATAGACGCTTTCCAGAACCAAGGTCGTGATGCGGGCTCTGCGCGTTGGGCTGAGACGGGTGGGAATATTCACCAGAGAGAACTTTCAAAGGCGGGAGCGAAGTTATATGGTTTGCAGGAGTCGGAGCACGAGGTACCGGAGGTTGCGTCAGGGTGGGGTATGCATTCGCCTCGGAGGAGCGAGAATCAGTACTTGTCTGCATGTTCGGTGCCTTTGGTGGCTCCAGGCGGAGAGGAGGTAGGGCTGCCTTGGAATAGCTTGGACGTTCAGCCGGCAGGCGTGGCTGGGGGTATGGGTAGCCAGAGGGAGTGGCGTCGTACTCGGTGCCATTGGAAGGGTTTCTTGAATGAGAATAGGAAGGGTGTGGAGAATACGTGTTTGCGGGAGTGGCCGACTGCGGTGTTGGCGGCAGTTGGGGAGCCGAATACTGGCTTTGCGTCGCTCCGAACGAAAGGTGAGACTGATATGAAGATGTCTGTGCCGAAGTTGCGGGGTTGTGAACGGGAGCTGGTGCGGGAGCTGCGGGGGCTGCTGGCATGGATCGTTGGTACGGCTGCGCGCCTTGGAATCCGTAATCGCTCGCAGACGGCCGTCTCTGCGCATCAGCGCCATAGGGGAAGGAGGCATCAGCGGTGGTACTGATGCTAGTGGAACGAGCACGCTCGGCCGAATTCGCCCCGTACATGTCAGGGGTGGTGTATCTGTCCGACCGAGCAGCAAAGACCCTCTCATCATCAAAGTCGTACTCGTCGGTGCGCTTCTCACCGCGGCGTCTCATGCGCACGTCCCGTCGAATACGAACTCGGCAGCCTTGCTCTGCAATGACGCGGCTGAGCGATGTGCTTGTGGCCAGTCCAGGGAACTTCTTGGCACTGTAGACGGTGAACGGGACCGACTTGACTAAGTTCAGGTACGACTTGGGTGCTGATGGTTTGGTCAAGTTGATGCTCGAGTTGACGTCAGGCATTGGCGTGTCCTTGTCCGCATCCTTGACGTCCTTGATCTCTTCGTACAAGTGGAAGTTCAACCGATATCTACCCTCGTGACGAACGGACAGGTCAGGAAAGATGAAATAACCGGCTTGCTGTGGACGGTCGAGATACGCGACGCCTGCTACCGGAACTCCTGTCAGGACGGGGCATGTCGGAGGTCCGGCGAGTCGTCCTTGCGCCATGGGACGAGCCGTGTCCAAGGTAGCGAATAGGAAGAAGTTGGCATTATAAGCGAAGGTTATGTCGGTCTTGTGAAGATCATCGTTGGGGTCAGACTCGAAGATTCGCAATTCAACAACAGGTGGAGGATCAACCGGTCGACGGTCGGCAGAGGCTGTGAGATGCCACCATTGATTAGCTCCACGTCCAGTGCACAGCAATTGTGAATAGCAGATCATACACTTGGCACCAGCACCACAGGCTCTTGCACGCTCCGGTTGCTGCATCACACTAAGCTTGTATGTAATCTTCTTGCCCTCACGAGTGATTCTGCTGACGGAGCTCTCCGTCTCATTCGCGGGAGGCATTAGGGGAGGTCTAGTCGTCATTTTTGCTCTTGAATGAATTCGAAGGGAATGATATAACTTGATGAGATCAGTATATACGAGATCAAGAAATCACGGAGGTAGATGATGGCCATAGTGATGGCATCATATCGCCTTCGGCACTGACTTGTTTTCACATATATAATCAGATGGGTAGGCGCTGTGTCGACAATTGACAAAGACTTATAATATCAACGACCCGAAATTTGTATCAAGTAAGCTCCCTCCTTCCCGAATCGTTTAGGATTTGAATGGTTTTGATAGACGGCTTGACGGACTAGCCAGTTGGCTGACGTATAGAGTCTGGGGAAAGAAAGTTAAAGGAAAAGAAAATAGAGAAACATAGAACAGAGAAAACAGAAAGGGCCGGATCTGTTGCGTATTGTGTGAGCAACAGATGCGGCAGCCCTGGGCGCTGAAGGTGAGGAGGATGATAGAGTTGGATGATAGATTGAAGATGGAGAAGATATCAAAAGAGCGGGAGGGGGCATGGGACTGGGGAGAGCGAGTTGCAAAAGTCAGCCGTGCCGTTAGTCGACTTTAGGCGTGGACTAGAGAGGTACTTTGGTGCTAACCTACACACTTTACCAGGGACTGTGTCGTCCACACTAACCGGTTGTGGTTAAATGTGGAGGTAATGATCAGTGACTTGAACCAGAGCTACCGAGCGGTAATCCTTTGTTAAATGCCCACTCTTCTTTATTACCATGAAACAATGGAGTGGCTGTCGAAAGTCATGACGCAGATAACCAGGATGAGACATCAAGACAAGCCGAGAATTACCATCAAGTTGATATTCTATGTGCCACTAGAAGGTTCAGTGTATAACACCTTATTAACTTGAGCATCCAGAATACAGTACGTACGGTCGAGGTACTGCGTATGGGTATTGTCACCTATGCAGCACTGATGCAGAATAACTGAGCCGGAGCAATGGATCCTGGGTAAAGGTCTGGAAGACTGGGAAAAAGTGGAAGGGGATGGTGGAGAAACGAGGGGCAGCCATGACCGATCATTGGAGCCTGGACAGGCGACCCATGCTTTAGGTTTGAGGCAGCGGTTAACTCGAACGAGCAGCCACTGGCAACTGGTAAGTCGAGGCCGACCGGAGGAGATAGCACATTCCATTAAAGGAGAAATAGATAATTTAAAAATGCGCTATACCAGAGAGCGAGTCTGAGAGCGAAAACAAGTGACAGATTTATCATGGCTTCCTGAACAACTAGGTAAAGATTTTTAATCGTCATATTTCCACGTGACTTGACTTCGGTGTTTGTTACTGCAACGAATATCAAGGATTAATTTCCCATTGGGTTCTGGCATAACCCAGTCCAGCGGATCGGACTCTTTGTCTCTTCCCAAAACCTGAAGAACGGGAACGACGAAGAAGTGAAAGGACAACTAAGTGGTCTATGCGTCTTAGGGTCGCCGTCCTGCAGATTTCAGCCGAGGAATCCATGGCGCTCAGGCTTCGTCACTATCGGGGTCGATGAATTCTTCTCCAATAATACAGGTACATCTGTAAGAAAATCTAGAACTTTTTACTTGCATTAATACTTAGCTATCTATCTGAGCACGTTATCCAGCACTTTTGCAATGGATTTCGTCCATGGATTCAGCTACAGTGTCTTGTGATTCCAAATCCAAATCCTGCTCCTGCAAATCATCATCAGTTTAGGTCGATTTATCAAAGCAAGAAAGAGAGAATAACAATGCAGCCGGCAAATGGACTAGCCGTAGTACTAGTCATCAGGATCGGGGGGGTTTTCTGAGAAACCGCAGGGAGACTGGATCTGCAACCTACCAGGCCAAATCGCCTCGCCTCTTCGGATGGATGCACGGGACAAATGGAGTCAGCACTAGCAGGGATATCCATGTCAGATTTGGCTGAAGGAAACACTTCCAATTGGGTTATGCAGCACACCTTTGTTAGCGTCAAGGAGGTGATTTGATGTTAATGTCCGACTGCGACCTCCGTCAATTTTGGTTAATGCAGGTTTTGTATGGTATTCGGGCTTACATGAATCATGTTGCTTGGCCGAGGTGATCAGCAGCAGACTAACTAAGGCTTCGACAAAAGGAATTCCAGGCGTCGATCTCAAGCAGAGAAAAGAAAATCACCATCCTCTGTCTATACGATTAAATAAAAGTAATGACAAGTTTGCGATAGTCCCAAGGTCCAAAAATGTCGCTCCTCGGCTTCTGTCATGATGATCATCATTTCTTGAGTATCGGACGGAAACTTTCAACAAAGCCCACTTCTGGCGGTCCGCACCGAATGGAAAGACGGGCCCGCCTCAAGCCGCCCATGGACATTCCTCTGGTTGGTTCTTTTGAAGACCCCAAGAAAGATGGTCCAATCAAATAATATTGAGGGCCTAAGGTACAGGTGGGTTCCTCATTCCAGACTTCTACTAGACATGGAAATTGCCAAGCACTACCTCATTGTGACACTGAGACATTATCAACTGAACAATAACCGAGGAGAGCCTCGTGCACAACTAACGACTGACCAAGGGGAGCAGGGGCCTGTGATAGTCTGACATCCGCTCTCTGTATCGCTGTGGGTGAAACTAATACTAAATACTACCTTAAGAGAGTTTTGTAGATGACTTTGGTCTTCGGATTGTTCTGGATTGGGACATTGCTCCGGGAGATCTGCATTTTTGCCTCAGGCTGTGTTACTGTTACCACCTTGATCAACACCCGACCCGACGATCGTTGTAGGCTATTCCAAGTACGTATCGGTCAACCTATCCAGAGAGGTATGCTGGTGCAGCGGTAATAATTATAGTAATAATGCACCTTTCTGTCAATCGAGGAACGTGTCCAAGCCTAATTAAATACTATTTCTTCTTCTGCAGCATCCAATCGTCATGTCTCCAGTATCTTGACGAACCATCACAGAGATACCTGTTCCTAGATCTACTGTTCAATAGTCTTAAGTTGAAGGCAGCTTACCAAGGAATTACCAAGCAGTTTACCTAAGTTAGGTTGCTTCAGGAGTTCGGCCGAATCCAAACGAAACTCGGCCCATGAGGCTTGCACGCCATATCCTTCATTTTGATATAATTCGAGACTCTTAAATATGATTGGCTTCTCCAGTCAGCGTCCAAATAAAGGAGAAATCGGCCCATTTTGATTTCAGCTACGGCATACTCCGTAGGATATGCACAAGATAACGTAGAACAAATGGCTGATTTCCGGTTGTCAATCACAAACCAGGCGCTCTCAGGCTCTCAGCACTAGCACTCCGCAGTCCGCAAAGGCAAATCCCATATCTCTGTACGGAGTACCCCCTCGCATTACGGATGAGCGCGATCGTCCAGGATGCATGTTTCTGAGACATGTTGCTAACCAATACCCAGACTGTCGGGTCTATCCCAGATGAGTCCGAAAATGAGATTTAGCATTCCAGCATTCCTGAATGTGACAAATCGCTTGTTTTAACCTTTTCCGAGTAATATCGAGTACTCCGTACTATCGTTTGCTGCTTAAAGGGGTGGACTGGGACAAATCGCTATGGAATCTGTTCGGAATGACATGATACCATTCGTCGTAGTTTGGCTGATTAGGAATGAATGCTAAGCGCTATTGTTGAATCATTACGGAGTACTCGGTAGATAAGGTCTCCGTGCTCTCAAGCGCAATAGCGCCGTTTATACTGCACGGAGCTCGTCCCTTTCTGCTTATCGAGTAACAACTTTTGCTGTATTCTATCCAGTTTGCTCACCCTGATATATGTCATGATGTCAAAAAGGCTTTCGGTTACCATCCATAAGTGTGATACCGGAATGCCGTGAGCAAAGATTATGCAGTACGACCGTTAAAGCCGCATGATGCTGGAACTCAGAAGCCAGAACGGCATATAATGGTCTCCGATGCATGCGCGGAAGTTGGAACAGCTCGACTCCCTAGATTCCACCCCTAGAGTCTGGTTTACGTCTTCGAAGCGAGCCTAGCCAAATCCATTGTAAGGAGCACTGAGGTGTCTCAGTGCGCCTGCATGACTTGGCTACTCTCAGCTAGCAGGAGAATATTAGCTGTCGATTCCTCAACGCCCGTTGTACATTACTCGTGTTGAATCCATCGTTCACAATCACATATTGACACAATGGCTCCCTATTAGCGCGCCATTTGCATGCAGAGTGATAGCTCATGGCTGTTGTGTATCGCGTGAATAGGGAGTCCTCGCTTCTAGAGTTTAGATCTGTAACACGGAGCCTTGATTTCGAGTCGGGAAATGTGACCTGTCAAGTTTGCATCGCAAAGGCCTCGTATCCGAAGGACTAAGGTAGCACGGACAATGTCTAATCTATCTAGGTTAGCGCTAGATCTCCGTCGGCTTTCACCGTCTTTTTTGGATGGGAGGATGATTGACGTGGTCTACTTTTTGGAGATGATTCCGGCGTTGTATATGTGGCAGAGAGTAGTAAACCAATCCTCTTTACAGATGTCCACCATATCTCCGTACTCCCCGTACTTTAGGCACGCTCGCTTAAAGCCTATGTCTCCTATGAGACCGTTTAATCTACTCAATTCTCGCGATATATATCTCTGGACGGACGGCGTTGAGTCTGTGCGCTTCCTATCCAACCAAGACATATCCACTCACAACGTCACCGATCTCTTTCGAGATTCGACAAGGAACAAGGATACAGTTCTACTACAATGACAGTCGACTGACTGATTTAATATCCCGGTTTAACTATTCTTAGATTAAGCTTCGCGTATGAACCGAGACACTAGATAGCTTCCGCGGGGGAACAGCGTAATTTCAAACACTCTGAGCTGCAATGGCACACGCAACAGCTATTTCCAAAGTCTCCATATCCGGCGCATGGATCTTGCCATTGTCTCTCGTCTCGTAAAGAGTCCCCCCCTCCGTCCAGATCCTGCGCAAGGTAACCACAACCGCCAGCGGATTATTCGCCTCCCAAAGCTCCTGCTCGAGCTGCTTCAGCTCCGGCAGCGACGTATACTCCCGCTCCCACTTGGCCTGAGTCTGCCGCTCAAACTCGGCTAGGATCTCGTTTGGCGTTGTGGTGAACGAGTTGACTTTGAGCGCCTGGTTGCGGGAGGCCTCGTTGTTGATGATCGCCGCTACAAGAAGTTTGCCCACGCTGGGAGTCGTTAGCTCGTGTTTCGCCAGGAATAAGGGCATGTGACGTACTCGGTCATAGTCGTGAGGCTGATCCGCCCATTACCATCACCCAGCAGAACGGCTTTCTTGTTCGCGACATCGAACGTCCCGCCACGAGGGCACTTGCTCGCATTCTCCAGGTAGAGGTCTGCGTACGGGCCCGTAACGAGGTAGGTGTGTTCGAGTCTCTTCACCTCCTCTCGGATAAATTTCCGCACCTGCAGCTTGAGTTGGTGAGGCTTCTCGTGCGCTGACTGCGGCCCGTATTCGATGTCGGTGCCGTACTCGGACGGGAAGAATCGAACGACGTTCGGGCAAGCCTCGGCGATTCGGATGAGGTTGATCTGAGCGGCGATCATGTTCCGTCCTAGGCAACTTACAATTGTGTCGAAGCCTGGGATATGTCTCAGATTGAAGGCTTGTTGGTGTAAGGAAGAGCAGTGTACCTTGATAAGCTTCGCGAACGCGCGCTTCATCGTTCAGGTCGCCGACGATGATCTCGACTCCATGATCTTTGAGCCATTGGATCTGTTCTTTCTTTGTATCGATTGTGTTTTGCGAGGTGAAGATGGCGACCCGGTCGAAAGAAGTTGGAGCAGCTGTTGCAATAGCTTTGATGATGTACCGGCCAATGACGCCAGTCGCCCCCAGGACTAGGATTTTACGCAGTTGACCGGGCATTTTGAAGTATATGACAGCTTTTGCAGGTATATACAGGGAATTGAAAGCACAAAAGAATCGGTGTTGAGGAATACAATGATCGGATTTCTAAGCGATTATATCTAGTGCGGGGATATCGGCTGTTTACTCCACAGATGGTGTTTGCCTGCGGGGGCGCCAGCACCCAGCCTACCCCCAAAGAGATATTACTAGAGCCAGATGGGACAGATTGTGTCTCAACCGCCATAATATATGGCCGTCCAACTCAGCCATGGTGTTCACATTTTGAGGTTCTGGCAGTCTTTGTAAAGAGCACCTGCGGCAGCTTCACTTCTGGTATATATTGCGGCTGGCGAGCCAACAGCTGCTCCAGACATGAGGGACAAGGAGCTCGAGCCTCTGCAGAAGATCGGGCAGGATGTCTATCTCTACGAGTGGTCTGGCTACAACAGCAATGAATCCAGTTCTGACCCTTCGCTCATCATCCTATGCACCTGGCTCGGAGGAGCAAGTCCTCGACGCATCAATAAATACGTGGCGCAATATCGAGCCCTTTTTCCAGCATCATGTATTCTTCTCATTACAACTACGTTACCAGATATCACCATCCGTCCCTTTAGCGTGCTGCGCGCACGATTGAAACCAGCTCGTGAAGCCATCTGCCGCATTTTCTCTCAGAAAGCCGAAGATACAACTGGAAGCAAGGACGATGCTCTGCTACATGTCCTTTCACACGGAGGATGCAATACAGCCATTCAATTGGCTCTCTCCATGAAGGAGAATACTGGCCCAAACACGTTGCATCACCTCCCTCTAAAAGGCGTCATCTTCGATTGCTGTCCTGGGGAGACCGATTTCCGCAGATCATACAATGCCGCTGTTCTATCTCTTCCCCAGGGTGGTAAGTTGGTACAGCTTGTCGGCAGGGCTGTGTTGTACACGACCGTGGGAACGATCACTAGTATCCAGAACATGGGGCTTATGAGCTCTGTCAATGACCTGCGGCATCAACTGAATGGCGAGGCGGTGTTGGGGCGCCAGGTGCGAAGGCTGTACATGTTCTCGCAAGCGGATACCACTGTCGACTGGCGCGATGTGATGTCACACATGGAGGCGGCTCGAGAGCAGGGATATCAAGCTAATGGGGTTATGTTTCGGAACAGCCCGCATTGTGCACTGATGCTGGAGGATGAGAAGAAATATTGGACGAGCATTAAGCAGTTTTGGAGGGAGGAGGATCTATCGTACAACATCGATGGTCCTGCATCTGCTCTTGAAGGTGGTTCGACAGACAAAGACAGCTCATTACCTCGTAGTAAACTGTGAGAGTCGAGGAATAGCAGAGATGAATCAAACTCTAAATACCATACTCAGTGTTGTCGTTCAGGTGGTATACTATAGAGGTGAATCTAGGAATCTGATTGGTCGCCGGCTTGTCAGCGCAACATCCGCAATTGCTCATCACTCGCTCCCAACGCGTTGTGATCTTCGGCTCTCTTGACACGGTCACGCTTATGGATCTGTTATCGGTCCTACCGGGCTTTCAAACACGGTCATACGCTCATATTATACCCCCACTCGAGCGAAACAAAATCACCATCGTCGATCTCATCACCCTCGATAATCTCGAAATCGCGAAACGCGCTCACGTCCCCCCCGCAGACCTTCGCCGGCTAACCACTCAGGTTGTCAAGGTGTTGCACAAGGATGTTGGGTTTGAAGAGGCTTGTGATGGTGATGATGCTGTCGAGCCGAGCTCCAGCAATGACATCGAAAAGCCTCTCATCCCTGGTCCATCGACCAAGCTAGACTTGTCGCGATGGAGTGCGATCAGCACTTTGGACCCCGCGTTGGATGAGCTACTCAATGGTGGTCTGGCGACCGGCTATTTGACCGAGGTGACTGGAGAGAGGTGACTTACCGGACGGCATACGCATTGTTTGCTATTTCTGACTGTGCGAGTATGTAGTGGGAGCGGCAAGACGCAATTCCTCCTCAGTCTCCTTCTAGCGGTGCAACTTTCAGAGCCTCGAGGTCTCGGAAAAGGCGCAATATACATCTCAACGGAGGCCCCGTTGGCGACATCACGACTGTCGCAGCTCCTCGAGTATCATCCTTACCTCTCGACCCTCCCGAAAGACCGCGCCCCGACACTGGAGAACATCCTCTCCATCAACGCGATGGACCTGGAATCCCAAGATCATATCCTCAACTACCAGTTGCCCGTTGCGATTACCCGCTACGACGTTGGCCTCGTAGTCATCGACTCGATCACTTCAAACTACAGAGCAGAACATACATCTCACAATGTTTTGGGTCTGTCTACACGATCTGGGGAACTGGCAAGGCTGGGCCAGCTGCTGCGCAACCTAGCCGTCGCAAAGAATATTGCGATTGTTGTCGCAAATCAAGTGTCGGACCGCTTCGATCCCCTCGAGAGCAACGCAGCATTGCGGCGCGCTGCCGCGTACGGAAATACTATTATCTCATCCCCGCCCGTATCCACACAACAGCAACCGACGACACCTCTACACCGCGACTCAGGCGTCGCTTCCCCCCTTCCCGCTGCCCGATCTAGGCCTCCGGAGTCCGGAAATGCCGAGCTGTCCCCTCACATCACGATCGCACCACCGTCCTCATCCCCAGCCTTCCCCTCCTCGCCGTTCGTCGGAGACGAAAACCAGTCTGAGCAGCAGCAGCAAGACTTCGACGGATCATACCTAATCGGCAACCCCGTGCGCAACGAGCTACTGAGCCTAGTGCACCAGCAACGATTCTTCACCGGGTGGGGCGATACGCCGCAGGCTGCCGCGCCGCCTTCACCATACTACTTCTCCCGGCAGCCGACGCACAAGACGCCCGCGCTGGGGTTTGTCTGGTCGTCCCAGATAGCGTGCAGGATTGCCCTGAAGAAGGAGGAGATCGCGATATTGCACGATCCTGCTTTTGAGCCAAAGAGCACAGACCCGTTGTCGCCAGCTTCACAGCCACACGAAGAAATCAAACCGACGTCAGACGGTAAGGAGCAACGAAGCGATCACCACGTCGTGGAAACCAATTCAGTTGTCCCGCCTGTACGACCACGGGCCGCGCCCCAACCGGCAGCCCCAGACACCGTTCCCCCTCGCACGCTCCGAAGAACCATGAAACTGGTCTTTGCGCCTTGGACCTCCGGGAGGGCAACAACTACCGTCGACAAGGAGGGGAACCCCACCGTTTACATCCAAGATGAGGTTGAATATACCATCTGGAAGGGAGGATTGAGGAGTGTGGAAGCGCAAGAGTAGACGATATTCAAGAAATTTGATTCAACTCGAAGCTACTGATCCCTTAGCATCTCTGTATATCTCTGAATATGCAGATCATCTATCAATGTACCATAGTTTACAATGAGGAACTTGGCTGCCTAGACTCGGTCGCGGTGTTATGTATATCTCCACTAGTGCTAGTTGCGGCGGGGCGCCGGAAGCTATTCTGCGTCCCCGCATTTGAATTCCTTAATTTCTCCAGCTTTACGACTCCTCTACCCATATTCACGTCCTAAAAGTTGAAGCCTGTGATCGCTTTCTGGATTGACTGAATTCACCTGTGGTCTAAAGGGACGAACGTCGAACGCGAGAAAAAGGACATCCACAAATCTTCGCTGGAAAGCAGAATATATGCTATGAAAAGGGGTAAGATGATCTAGAGCACATGGCAACCAAACAGGACTCCCCGATTAAGAACGATTAAAGGGCAGGAGTCAACATGGACGAATAAAAAGTCTTTTTGCCCCCCTTCCAGATACGCCTTTCATTTAGATAACTCACATTCGCTCTATGATATGACAAGTGCCCGTGTCGTGGTCAGATTCGATCCCGCGAGAGCACCACGGAGCGAGGAACTCGAAAAGAAAGAAGGGAAGAATGAAGAATAACGTTCTATGTGCTGACGAACAGAGACTCTATTTGGCGGGAATCTTGGCAGGAGGGACACCGATGCCGTTGATGTTGCGGTAGAAAAGAACGTGCTGGCTTTCGCCCTTGGCGCCCTCGGTGGGCTCAACCCACTGGCAGGTGCGAGCGCTGGTCCAGAGGGCCTTGAAGAAACCAGTCCAGCCGGTGTGAGCCTCGCTGCGGTAGTGCGGTCCCATGACCTTCTGGATGGCCTCGCTGGCCTCATCAGCGTGGTAGAAGGGGATGGTGCTGACATAGTGGTGCAGAACGTGCGTCTCGATGATGCCGTGGAAGATGTGGCGACCGACGAAGCCGAAGTCACGGTCAATTGTAGCAGCAGCTCCACGGGTGAAATCCCAGGCCTCAGGCCGGTAGTGGGGGAGGCTGGGGTCGGTGTGCTGAAGGAAAGTGATGGCAACTATATTTGCAAGTCAGCAAAAACCTGTTTCGTGCCGCGAAAGGTGGACGAGAGGAACTTACCGAGCCAGTGGTTTACCCAGAGGTAAGGAATGCCGTACCAGACAAGGAGGTTGAGCCAGCCATAGGTCGATCCGATATAGTAGAGGAGACTTCCCACAAGGAAGAGACCGAGATCGCTCAGGGCAATCAGTTTGGCATCCTTGGCCTCATACAGGGGGCTGGAAGGGTTGAAGTGGTTGACACCACCAAAGTAGCCGTTCCGCTTGCCCTTGCCGCGTCCCTCGGGCTGGCGCTCGTGGTTGTTGTGGCCGGTGACATTGGTCAAGAGGTACATGGGCCATCCGAACAGCTGCTGGAGAACGAGGTTGGTCGCGGTCAGGATGGGAGTCTCCTCCATTAATTCACTGAGCTCATGAGCGGCACGGCCGATGCGAGAGGCATATTCTTCCCTGGTCTTGGGAACGAAGACCATATCACGAGCGATGTTACCGGTGGCCTTGTGGTGCTTGCCGTGTGAGATCTTCCATGAGAAGTAAGGGACGAGCAGAAGTGAGTGGCAGATCCATCCAACAGTGTCGTTCAAGATCTTGGAAGGGGAGAAAGCCTGGTGACCGCACTCGTGTGCCAGAACCCAAACACCGGTTCCGACCAGACCCTGAATGACGGTGTAAATGGCCCACAGGACGACGCGCACCGGCATGGAGGGCACGGTCTCGGGGGTGACATAGTTGTGGAAGACATAGAAGACAGTCGCAAGGATGGCCATGTCCCGGAAGACATAGTACAAACTCGTGACAGCCGAGCGTTGGTAGCAGTGAGCAGGGATGGCATCCCGGATCTGCTTGATGGTGTAATCGGGAATCTTGAACTCGTTACCATAGGTGTCGATCATCTTGCCGCTGGTGTTCTCGGCATCCGAGGCCATTGAGGAGAGCGACGTCGACGAAGGGGACTGGCGAGGACTGTCGAAAGGAGAGTGAGAGACGGAGCTGGGCACGGAGGAGTCCGTGGTTGGGTTGCGATGCAGCGCAACGCGCTTGGGAAGAGCCGTCGAGGACATGGTGACAGGACCGAGCTGCTTGTGTAGACTGGTTGGGTATGAGGGATGAATACTGTCAACCGTGTCAGTCCATGCAAGAAAGTCGCATATGATCGGTGGCCAATATCACGTCAATGGGAAGGTGAAATGATGGAAGACGTCAAGGACAAGTCTTGGAAGGCCCGAGAGTACCTCCCTCGTCGAATTGACAAAAAGAAAGTTATATGAGGGACAGGTTCAAGATTCCACTCACCCAGTGAATCTGCTTCAGTAAAGGGTTACACAAACTCGAAGCCTTTCTGACGTCTGTGGTGGAAGGCTGACAAGGTCAGAAGAATGGGGTGAATGATCTGGTCGCGAATTCCTCTGCGCTCCTTTAGACAAAGCAAGAGGTCAACGAGGAGACAAGGAGGAGGGAGACTGGCGGTTAAGAGAGCAGACCAGCAATAGAGGACGAACAGAGGAGGGGGGCAATAAAGAAGATCACAGGGGATGAAAAGGCCAAAGAAAAACAAACGGACCGAGATTTCAGAAGGCAAAAAGGAAGAAAACGCGACGAGAACAGCCCATTCCCGTGTCACCTATTGATTTGACGATCTGACGAATTTTGGGATACCTATTAAGGTGGTAGGCACTCAATAGAGCCCTTCCATGGGTTTGGTTGGTATTGGGAGGTAATTCTCAACTGGAGAGGATTGACTACCACGGTAATTTTTACCATATCCCTAAAGAATGATTGGCTGGTGAGCTCCTTGAGCACGGGTAACCCCTGTCATACCAATGCTGATTTTGACATTTTTCCTTTTGAATTTTCTTTTCTCTGAAAATCTGTGAAATTTGCCTCAGACGGCGACCTGGGATTTGAGAATGTGATGATCATGGATCCGTGTAAGGTATTACCTAGCCACCAAAGCTGGATGCATTCGTCAGCACTCGGCCAATCAATAGTCATGTCGAGTCCAGTCCTGTGCAGATCGCCGGAATGGCCCATATCTTTCTTGCTTCGGTTCTCCCGAGGCAGCGTTTGCCATGATTGGTAGTAAGGAGTACTCCGTAGCTGCATAGAGTTCAGCTCGCTCTTGAACTGCAGTTTGCATATGAACATGCGAGTCCTGCAGCTCAGGTGTGATTGAATGCGCCACTTTTCTCGAACTCAGGTTACGAATGATACCTACTCTGAAGTCAGTCATCGACAGATGACAGACCTCTAATATCTACTATCTACCGTCTCACCAATCAACATTGAGGTATTATCGGCGTCTGATAGGGGTTCCGAATCAGGCCACCTTGAGCCTTGGTCTCCGGCTAAATCGATTCTAGAGTCTGTACGGAGTACTCCCAAGTCTACCTGCGCCTTTTTTCTGTAGGCGATGTTCAGCCACAGCTAAATGCAAACGGGTTCTATGAGATTACCATGTGGCAGACATGGGGGCAAAAGGAAAAATACTAGTGGCATTCCGGACCAGGTACAGATAGCGGGGTGGCGTCTCACCGCCTTTTGGAACCCAATCATATACATTAGTGATGATCCACTGCCGGCCAAAGGGAATTGGGCTTCTCAACAGTCTTGGCATGCACGAATCCGTATCATTGCCTTACAGTGCCAGCTCAGGAAGGAGAGATCTTCTCCGAGGTATCATATGCAATTCTCCTACGGAGTATGCAGCTTTGCCTACGGATGTGTTGACACTTGACTCCTTGTCCTTGAATGACTTGACATTATCGATATTTACTCCGTTAGCAACAGCCGACTTATAAATCGTGGGGTCGGAGATGATTCGGAGCAGATCCATATCAGTTCCCCATTGACCTTCTAGAACATCTCCAAGTTTGACTCCGACTCCAGACATCAAAATTTCGCGGGCATCGTTCCATATTAATAGCATGTGAGACTCACCTCACCTGACTGGAAATGAAACGCCATGAACACCCTTGCTCACACTTCTAGAAAATAAAAAAAAAAAAAACAATGTAGCATCCTTCATATTGAACCGAACTTACTTGATGCAAGCGCTGGCTTACATAATTCACAAAGCAGATCAACCTCAGTCTCACCAATAGCAACCAGCCGAAACCCGTCAAGGTTTAATCGAGATCGAACTAAGGCACGGCTAGCTTGTAGGGCCTTGCTAGTGGTCATTGGTCTACAATTGCAGGCGTCGGGTTTATTTTGTAGATACATTCTTCCTTTCGACCTCTGTAAGATTCGTGATCGAGGTAATGCATGTGATTCAGTCCTTGCTTACTATGGTAGTATCATAGTAAATCACACTCAGATCTTGTTGATCACTCGGAAAGCTCAACAGGTCAGTAAGGAATGCTACGAAATTCCCTCTATCGATTTCTCATAAATAGGCAGTCTCAATGCTGGATTTGAATACCCCATCGTTATGCAATGGGCTCCTCTGAAAAAGATAGACCAAATCCGTAATCACCAGAAATCTTGGGCTAATTTCTCATTCTTCGACTGTAGTTGCGTCGGGAGGAAGTAGCAGTAAACTGTTGGGGCGGAGCCATTTTGTTGAGGATGGGAGGGCCCAGTGGGTCTGGCTGACTTGTCAACAACCAAAACTAAAATTCCTTGTGAAGAGGTTAAAAAAATTAAAATAATTAGTTTAAACCGGGTGCTTAGTCACCAGTGGCCGTCTGTGTTTTTTTCGTTGTTTGCAAATTTGAACAGAACTATGGATATTCAACAGGTGCACAGCCATTGATCTATCTTTACCTGGTCTTGACATCATGCTCAGATCGCTAGGTTACACAGTTACAAAATCGTTAACATTATCATGCATGTACCTCATTCCGACTCTCTGAATGTATCAACCACGAGCCGCCATGTCCTCCCCCCGCCGGGCTGAGACTGACTGTCGTCTGCCGTAGATCAGGGAGCACC